GTATTTTAATTATTGAGGGATCTTTCCCAGGTTCCTTTAAGAATGATTATAAATCTAGGATAACCACTGTGAAATATTTACCCAAAGGTTGCACATCCTCAAAGAGCAGAAAAAAAAGTTGGTGGGAAAAGAAAATGAACAATTCTCCCTCATTTCCAATAGATTCAGAGGAAATACAGAGCAGCAGAGATGAGAGCTGCAGAGACCTGGTGAGCAAGTGAGGCATGCAGATTAACCACTCTGTGCCACAGGGCAGAACCTGGGCCATTGTAGCAGGAAAAGTTCGGGTAAAGATAGGGAAAGAGCTATGCCAGTGTTTTGAAATACAACTTTCTATGGTGGTGGAAATGTTTTGCACTGTCCATTAGCCATATGTGGCTACTGAGAACTTGAAATATGGCAATTCAAAAAAAATTAATTGATTTTTAGAGAGGAAGGGAGAGGGAGAGGGAGAGAGAGAGAGAAACATCAATGATGTGAGAGAATCATTGAATGGCTGCCTCCTGCAAATCCCCCACTGGGAACCAAGCGCGCCCACAAACAAGGCATGTGCCCTGACTGGGAATCAAACCATGACCTCCTGGTTCATAGGTCAACACTCAACCACTGGACCATGCAGGTGGGTCGAAATGTGGCCATTTTGACTGAAAAAATAAAATTTTATTTAACTTTAAATATTTTTCATTTTTCTTTTAAAAATACATTTTTAATTGATTTTTAGAGAGAGAGGAAGGCAGACAGATAGAGAGATAGAAACATCAATGAGAGAGAAACATCCATGGGCTGCCACCTACATACCCCCTACTGGAGATCAAGCCTGCAACCAGGGCATGTGCCCTGACCAGGAATCCAGCAGGTGATGTTTAGGTTCCTGGGTTGACGCTCAACAGCTGAGCCACACCAGCCATGTTCATTTTAAGTATTTTAAGGTTTAACTTAAATATCCACATGTGGCTAGTGACTACCATATAGGGAAGCATAACACCAAATATTGGCTCAGGAGTCACTGAGTGGCCCATAGGAAAGGAGGGGCTTCGGAGACAGTGTAAACAGACCAGCCTAGCCCATACCAAATACAACTACAATTACCCACCAGCACTTTTGATCGTACACAAACCTGATTCACCAGAGGCAAAAATGGGTTACAACTGGAAATAAATCAAGCCCCTGTAGTTGATTTCACATTTTCCTGCTCCATAGGTCAACTAGGAGAGCTCCCACTGGCTATTTACATCTACACACACACACACACACACACACACACACACAGCTTACAGCTAGCTATAAATACAGTGGAGGACATCTGAAATGACTGAAAACCAGATAATCAATCTGCCTCACTGGCATTAACCCATGGAGCAAAATCTCAGAGGGTGTGCTATCTCTGCAGGGTTTTTACATTTTTCTTATTGTTGGACTGAATTACACTCCAATACACTAAGTAAGTCTCCCTTTAAAGTACCCAGTAAATACAGAACAATTTAAAATCTTAAGCAGTGTGTAGCACTCCAGAGAGTGTAAATATATAAATACAAGTTTTATAATAAATTTTTAGAATCTATAATCTAAACATTAAGAAATAGATTTATAAGTTCTTTGATGGGGGAGAAAGGAGACATATGCATTATTTTCAACAATAAAGATTTTTTTAAAAAGAAATAGATTTATAAGGTTTTAGTAATAATAAATGAATATACCAGCCGAAATCAGTTTGGCTCAGTGGATAGAGCGTCAGCCTGTGGACTGAAAGGTCCCAGGTTCGATTCTGGTCAAGGGCATGTACTTGGGTTGCAGGCACATCTCCAGTAGGAGATGTGCAGGAGGCAGCTGATCGATGTTTCTCGCTCATCGATGTTTCTAACTATCTTTCTCCCTTCCTCTCTGTAAAAAATCAATAAAATATATTTTTTAAAAAATGAAAATACCAAATTGCATATGCATCTTCCCAAAAAATCATGTAACCAGAATTATGTTGGATTATATATTTTTTTCTAATTTTTGGATTCCCTTAAGTTAATTATTCTCTTATAAATGAATGATGACATTAAAAACAGCATATAGCTCCATTGTGTGAAAATATAAAATCACAATATAGATTTATTAACAAAATACATAACTTGATCTTGACATACTTAAAATCTATAAATTAAAATTACTAAACAAACATATAAGGTTATTTCCCTTGTTGAAAAAAGTGTCTGGGTATGTGTGTGCATAACTGTATATGCAAGGTATTGAGTAGGAGAATGGTATTAGTTTAATGCTTCAAAATACTAACTTGTCACAAAAGATACATTTTCTTTTTGAGTTTTTGTTTTTCATCAAAATAATAAGAAAGCATATATGGAAATATAAAACTAAAGGAACCCTACAAAAATTATTTTGAATATAAGCATTCCTTCCCTCTATTATGCACAACACACACACACACACACACACACACTCACCCACAAACACACAAATCCAGATGCAATCATTTTCAACTCTTAGTTCTTTCATTTATAATTATCTCCGTGTAGCTAAATTACATACGTAGAGAATACTAAAACAAGCCTCAATAAATTTAAATTTATTTAAATAATATAAAGTATATTGTCCAATCACAATGAAATTATATTAGAAATAAAAAAAGAAGAAAATTTGCTAAATTCACAAATTGGTTGAAATTAAACAGTACATCATAAATAACTAACGGGTCACAAAAAATGTAAGAAATTGCAAAACACTTTGATGAATGAAAATATAACATACCAACACTTTTGGGATGTGGTTAAAGAAATGCTTAAAGGGAAATGTATAGCTGTAAAACCTATATAAAAAATAAAAAAATCTCAAATTAACCTTCCACCTTAAAAAACAAGAAAAAAAAACTAAACTCAAACCAAGTAGAAGGATAAAATGTAAATGAATGAAATAATAAGAAACGGTACATAAAATCAACAAACTATAAGTTGAATCTTAAAAATATCAACGAAGTTGATAAACCTTTAGATAAGCTAAGATGAAAAGAGATGACTCAATTTAATAAAATCAGAAATGAAAGAGAGGACATTATTACCTACATTACAGAAATGAAAACAATAAGAGAACAGCATGAATAATTTTACACCACCAAATTAGATAATTTAGATAAAACTTCTCAAGAAAAAAATAGAAAATTTGACCATGTTCATCTGTGAAGTGGGTGAAGATGGTCAAAAGGTACAAACTACCAGTAATAAGTTAAATAAGTCCTGGGAATGTAATATACAGCATGGTGACTATAGTTAACAATACTCTATTGTATACATTTTCTTCTACAAGGTTTATATTCTTAGATTTTTATAGTTATATCTGGTCCATTTTGAATTAATAGGAATTATTTAAATAAAACATTCATTTTTTGATTTTTTATATTTGGACTTATGAAAAATAAACTGTCTCATTTTGAAAAAATGTACTTTCCATGTCACAAAATAATTTTCCTTTTGAAACTGTCTTTTTATAAACTGCTGTTTGCTAAGTCCATAGTATCTCATTAGGTTTCCATAACTTAATTAATCTTGAATAACAAACTTTGTACCCCTTGACCAACATTTTCCCATTTCACCCTCCTCAGAGCCCTTGAGAGTAAAATGGTAACCACCATTTTTCTATCTTTAATATTATATATTTCTTATGTCAATGATCTGTTCCATGGGTTTGATTATGTTAGATTCCATAGATAAGTGAGATCATACATTATCTTTCTGTGTCTTCTTTATTTAACTTAGCATAAGGTCCTTTAGGGCAATCCATGTTGTTGCAAATGGCAGGATATTCTTCTACTTTGAAAGCTTAAAAATATTCCCATGCATGCATATACCACATTTTTATTATCCATTTGTCCTTTCATGGACATTTAGGTTATTTCCATATCTTGATTATCGTGAATAATGTTGTAATATAGTGCAAGTCTCTCTTTGAGATTCTGATTTCCTTTCCTTAGGATGAATAAGCAGAAGTAAGATTGCTGGGTAAATGGACACAGACACTGGGGTGGTGGGGGCTTGCCCTCAGGGGTGGGAGGGATCGGGGGGTCAGTTGGGGAAAAAGGAGACATATGTAATACTTTAAACAATAATAAAAACAAGATTGCTGGGTAATATGGTACTGATAACAATACTGTACTTTATACTTGAATTTGCTATGAGGGTAGATCCTAAGTGTTCTCATCACAAAAAAATAAGAAAAAGATGACTATGTGAGGTAATATATATGTTAATTAGCTTAATCATGGTGATTTCATTATGTATATACTAGAGGCCCGGTGCATGAAATTCATGCATGGGTAGGGTCCCTAGGCCTGGCCAGCGATCAGGGCCTATCAGGTTCCCCATCTCCCTGATTCCCCACCACCCTGCCTCCTCCTTCCCTTGGCACCCATGTCTGCCGCCACCCACCCCCAGTTCCCTGTCCCAGCCCGGGGCCCAGCCCTGATCAGGCGATCGGTACCTGCTGGCTAGGGGGAGGGGCCAACTGCCACCATAGCGGATGGGTGGTAAGCCAATTGGGGCCTGTTGGCCTGCGGGGGAGGGATGGGAGGAGGTACCCGGGAGGTTGGCTGCCAGCCCCGAGGAGGGAGCCAGCTCGGCCCCCCTGGGAACGGGGCCATGTCCATTGCCACCCACCCCTTGTTTCCCGTCCCAGCCCAGGGGCCCGGCCCCCATCAGGCAATTGGAGCCTGCTGGCCTGGGGAGGGACCTAGAGGTTGTCTGGCAGGTCCCATTAGCGATTGGGGCCTGCGGGCTGGGGGCAGCTCCTGCATTGAGTGTCTGCCCCTTGGTGGTCAGTGCACGTCATAGCGACCAGTGATTCCAGTCCTTCCAGTCATTCTGGTCATTTTGTTGTAACAGTTGCTTAGGTTTATATATATATATATATAGATGTATATCAAATCACACTTTATGTATATACAATAAAAATATCACAAACTTTTATAGCAAAATAGTCCCATATGTAATGTATTTTTTGTCTGTCAGGTGACAACGTATGAATTTGACTTTGACATTCTAATTAATTTCTTTGAATCTTCAAAACTTTACACTCAATATCATTTGTCAAAATCTCCTGTGCCTCGGGTCCCTCTTATTCGACCATGTCATGTTCAAGCTACTGGTATGTAATATGAAACATTCAAGTGATGTGCATAAATCAAATATTTTCACTTAAGCAGCTGAAAGTTTAAAAATAGGGATATGATATTTTTAAAAAATATTAATATTAGAAAATGAAATTATGATTGCTCTGTATTTTACTTAAATTGTGAGTCTTTGAGATTGAATTTTGATAGATAGCATGGATATAATCTCCGATGAGGAAACCTTGCTTGAAAAAATAAGATATAATTTTTTTAAATAAAAGGTCAGTTTAGTACTTTATTCATTGTGTGGGTAATTTTTAAAGGATTATATTAAAATTAAATCATTAAAATAAGCTACATTGGCTATAAAGTGAAAGGATGGAAATTTCATTTTAGAAAATATTTTTCCCATATGGATAGGTTACTAAAGGATTATCTACATGTACAGAAGGATAAGTATCTTAAAATTTTGAAATATTTGTCAAATATATATTTACTCATTTTCTCCAAATATTCAAGTATAAAACCAATGTACTCTGCAAAATGTAGTTTTGGAAAGCTTTTGCTTTGCAGTTCATAATATATGTTTAAGTATTTTTCAGAAAAAAAATAAGTTTAGACTATAATATATTTTGTTTTCATAGTTCTGACATTAAGTTCTCAATAATAAAATAGTAATCAGTGAATAATTGCACTTGGCACCTTGTAAGAGAAGCCTCATTAAAATAGCATATATAATATAGAGATTTAGTTTACTTCCATTTAAAATACAGAATTAAGAATTTCACAGGTGGTAGGGAGGCTCCATGAAGATAAATTAATGTTTCATCATAGAAAATTGGAAAATGTAGAAACACAATAAATGTCATCTGCAATGTGAATATTTAGACTACACTATTAGTAATATTTTGGGATTTTACTTTTGTTCTATATTTTGCTTTTTATCAGTTTTTTTGTTAACATATTTGAAATTTTACTGCCTGTGTTAAGTTGAAATCTGTTCATGCTTACTATAAAGTTTTACTTGAATGTCATAGACCCTTATTAATTATATAAATTAAGGCTGATAAGTATTATAGAATATATCATCGGTAAGTGTCTCTTATGGATTACTTAACCATAATCAGAAGCATTTAGGTTTTTTCCGTTTTTAAATTTTCTTATTAATATAAATATTGTAGTAGTGAGCATTTTTGTGTATAATACTTTTTTCTATTTAGATTTTTTTCCTTTTTAAACATTTTATTGAATTCACTGGGGTGACATTGGTTAATAAAATTATATAGGTTTCAAGTATACAATTCTATAATATATCATCTGTATATTGTACTGTGTTTTCAATACCCCCAATCATTTCTCTTTCTATCACCATTTATTCCCCCTTTACCCTCTCCTCCCTCCCACCACTCTGGTAGCCATCATATTGTTGTCTGTGTTTGTTGCTTTCTATTTTATATCCAAAATGCGAGTGATATCATATGGTTCTTTTTCATATCTAGATAATTTTTCTAAGTGAGATTCTCTGAGTTGGCTGCATTCTAAAGCACATACGCATTAAAGCTCTTGATTCATTTTTCAAAAGGGCTTTTGTGAAGAGTTGTGCTCTTTTACCTCTCCACTAGTATAAACTGTAACCAGTATTGAATTAAAGAAATTGGATACCTTTCTATGTGATTAAAAGTATGTTATTTCAATTTCCATTTTTTGGATTGCTTACAGATTATAATTTTCTATCTTTGCGGTCATATATTTCTTATGTCAATGATCTATTCACGAACTTTGCCTTTATCACTAAGATTTTGTATTCATCTGACAGATGTCCATGATCTCTTTACAGCAGTCCCCCCTTATCCACAGGGTATGAGTTCCAAGAGCTCAGTGGGTGCCTGAAACCAAGGATAGTGCCAAATCCTATGCATGCTATGTTTTTTTAAATGCACTTACATACCTATGATAAAACTCAATTTATAAATTCAGCACTGTAGGATATTAATAACCAACTAATAATGAAATAGAACAATTATAATAATATACTATAATAAAAGTTATGTGAATGTGGCATTATTAAGTAAAATAAAAGTTAATGTGTACATAAGCAGTGTGATACTGCAACAGTCAATCTGCTAATCAAGACGGCTACTAAGTAGCTAACAGTCTGGGAGAGTATACAGATTGAGTATGCTGGACAAAGGGATGATTCAAATCTTGGGCAGAATGGAGTGGAATGCCAAGAGATTTTATCACACAACTCACAATGTGCAATTTAAAACTATTGAATTATTTATACAGATTAGGAGAGCAGGACTGAACTGTTTTTTACCAATGCCATGATTGTCTATGTAGAAAATTTAAAAGAATTGATAAAAACAATCTCTTGGAACTCTAGTAAGGTTTCGGGATAAGAGGTTAATATACAGAAGTCTATTGCTTTCCTATATACCAGCAATGAGCAAATGTCATTTGAAATTAAATACAAAATACCATGTACATGAGCAGCCTACAAGATGAAACACTCATGTTAATAAAATATTTACAAGAGCTATTCGAAGAAACCTACAAAACTCTAATGTAAGGAAGCAAAGAAGAATTAAATAAATAAAGCAATATTTTATGTTCATATAGGAAGATACTGTTGTGAAGATGGCAGTTCTTGCCAACTTGATCTAGAGAATGAAGTCAATCCCAATCAGATCCTCATCAAGTTATTTTGTGGCTATTGACAAATTGATTCAAAATTTATATGGAAAGGGAAAACACCCACAATAGCCAACACATTTTTGAAGGAGAACAAAGTTGGAGGACTGACATTGTGGAGGAATTAAATATTTATCACAAAGGTGCAGTAATTAGGAGAGTTTGATATTGGCAGAAATATAGACAAATAGATCAATGGAATAGAAAAGATAGCCCAGAAATAGATCTGTAGAAATGCAGTCAACTGATCTTTGACAAAGGAGTACAGGCAATGCAATTCAGAAAAGATAGTCTTCTCATAATTTGGTGCTGAACAACTGGATATCCACAAATTTAAAAAAAGAAGAAAAATCTAAAGACAGTCCTTAAATTCTTCACAAAAATGAACTCAAAATCTATCATAGACCTAAATATAAAATTCAAAACCATATAAAACAGAAGATAATATAGGGAAAATCTAGATGTCTTTGGGTTTGGCAATGGTATTTTAGATAAAACAACAAAGGCAAGATCCTTGAAAGAAAGGATTGATAAACTGGACTTTATTAAAATTAAAAATATCTGCTTTACAAAAGATACTTGCAAGTGCCAAAAAGACAAACCACTGGCTTGGAGGAAATATTTGCAAAAGACATATCTGAGAAGGAACTGCTATCTAAAATATAGAGAGAACCTAAAATTCTAGGAGAAAAACAAACCAATTAAAAAATGGGCCAAACATCTGAACATACACCTCACCAAAGAATATATACAAGTGGCAAATAAGAATATAAAAATACTTCACATCGTATGTCATCAGGAAACTTCAAATGAAAACAACAGTAAGATACCACTATACACCTATTAGAATAGCCCAAATCCAGAATACTGCCAACACTAAATGCTAGAAAAGATGTGGGGCAGCAGGAACTGGTGGGAATGCAATTGCTGATGAGATTACATTGCTGAGGGGAATGGTAAATGATTTGCTATATCAGAAGACATTTGGTATTTTCTAAACATACTCTGAAGATACAATACCTTAAATTGTGCTCCTTGCTATTTTTCTTAAAGAGCTGAAAGCTTATATCCACGTGAAAACCTGTACACAAATGTTTATGGCCGATTTGTTAATAATTGCTAAATCTTAGAAGCAGCCAAGGTGTCCTTTAGTAGATGAATGTATATATTTTGTTATACTCTGACAGTGGATTGCTATTCAGCACTAAAAAGAAGTGAGCTATTAACTCATTGATAGAGATCCCAGAGACCTTAAATTTATATTACTAAGTGAAAGAACCCAATCTCAAAAGGCTGCATATGGTATCATTTCAACTGTGATATTCTGGAAAAGGCAAAACTATGGAGATAATAAAAAGATTAGTCATTTCCAAGGGATGTGCGGGGAGAGAGATGAATAGGCAGACTACAGAGGATTTTTAGGGCAAAGATTCTTCTCTGTATGATACTATATAAGGGTGGAGCTTATATATATATATATAATAATAATAATCAAATAATATATATATATATATATAATCTCCACCCTTATATATCATTATACATTTGTTTAAACCCATAGAATGTACACCACTACAAAGGATCTGTAATGTAAAGAGTGGGCTTTGTATTATAATGATGTAGAACTGGGCCTATCATTGTAGGTTCGTCAATTGAAACAAATGTACCACTGTAGTGAAGAATGTTGATAATGGGGGAGATTATGCATGTATGGGGGCAGGGGTATATTGGAAATCTCTACATCTTCTCAGTATTTCTGTGAATCTAAAGTTGCTCTAAAAATAAATCTATACTAATAATAGAGTAATATGCAAATTTCCAGGATGCCTTCACACTAATAGTAACAACCGAACAGCAGGCTGCATGGGGCGACCAGGTCAGCAGGGGGTTAGTGAGGGACAACCAAATGACTGAACAGCAGGGTGCATGGGGCGACCAGGCCGGCAGGCGGGTTAGTGAGGGACGACCAAACAAGTGAACAAGCAGGCAGCATGGTGCATTCCAGGCCGGCAGGGGGGTTGGTGAGGGACAACCAAATGACTGGACAGCAGACTGTGTGGGGCGACCAAGCTGGCGGAGGGGGAGGCATTTGGGGGTGACCAGGCCGGCAGGGGGGCAGTTTGGGGCAACCAGGTCAGCAGGGGGGGAAGTTGGGGGCAACCAGGCCACCAGAGGGGGGCAATTGAAGGTGACCAGGCAGGAAGGGGGGGCAGTTGGGGCCAACAAGGCTGGCGGGGGGGGGCTGTTAGAGGAGACCAGGCTGGCAGAGGTGGGCAGTTGGGGGTGACCAGGCTGGCAGAGGGCAGTAAGGGGCAACAGGCTGGCAGTGGGGGCAGTTAGGGGTGATCAGGCCGGCAGGCAGAGGTGGTTAGGGGTGATCAGACTAGCACGGGGGGAAGTTAGGGGCGATCAGGCAGACAGGCAGGTGAGCAGTTAGGAGCCAGCGGTCCTGGATTGTGAAAGGGATGTCTGACTGCCAGTTTAGGCCTGATCCCCGGGCATCCCCCAAGGGGTCCCAGATTGGAGAGAGTGCAGGCTGGGCTGAGGGGGACCCCCCCTCTGTGCACGAATTTCGTGAACTGGACCTCTAGTCTTAAAAAGAGAATTTGATTTGCATTTCCCTAATAGCTAGTGAAGTTGAGCATCTTTTCATATATCTGTTGTCTATTTGTTTGGAAAAAGGTATCTGTTCAGGTCCTCTGCTCATTTTTAATTGGAGTGTGTGTGTGTGTGTGTGTGTGTGTGTTTGTTTTGCTGTTGAGTTATATGAGTTCTTTATATATTTTGGATATTAACTCCTTATTGGAGATGCTGTTCACAAATATCTTTTCCCATTTGGTTGGTTGTCTTTTTGTTTTGTTGATAGTTTATTTTGCTGTGCAGAAACTTTTTAGTTTGGTATACTCACATTCATGTAGTTTTGCTTTTACTTTGCTGGTCTTTGAGGTCAGATTCATAATATCCTCTTTTTAAGACCAAGGTCAATAAGTTTTGTACCTATATTTTATTTTATGCATTTTATTGTTTCAGGTCTTATATTTAGGTCTTTTATCTATTTGGAGTTAATTTTTGTCTATGGTGACAAATAGCAGTTTAATTTCATTCCTTTGCATGTGTCTTTCCATTATTGCCGGCTCCATTTATTGAAGAGGCTTTCTTTTCTTTTCTCCATTGTATGTTTTTGGCTCATCTTTGAAAATTATTTACTTATTTATATGTGGGTTTATTTCTGGGCTCTCAGTTCTGTTCCATTGGTCAGTGTGTCTTGTTTTTCTGCCAATGCCATGCTGTTTTGATAATTGTCATTGTACCATAATTTGAAGTTAGTGAGTGTGAGACCTTTGGCTTTGCTCTTTCATTTGTTTATTTTTTTAATCCTCACCCAAGGATATGTTTATTGATAGAGAGAGAGAGAGAGAGAGAGAGAGAGAGAGAGAGAGAGAGCGCCATATGAGAGAGAAACCAATTGGTTGCCTCCTGTACTTGCCTCCACTGGTGATTGAACCCGCAACCTAGATATGTGCCCGACTGCTAATAGAGGCTGCAATCATTTTGTGTGCAAGACAGTGTTCCCACCAACTGAGCCACCTAGCCAGAACTCAGCTCAACTTTATTCTTTTTTCTCAGGATTGCTTTGGCTATTCAGTGTCTTTTGTGGTTCCATACCAATCTGGTGACTTATTTTGTTGTCTTTCTTTAAAAAATGTCATTGGGATTTTGATGGAGCTTGCATTGAATCTGGGTATTGCAAATCAAAACCACAATGAGATACCACCTCATACTTATTGAAATGGCTATTATCAACAAGACAAGTAATACATTTTGGAGAGGTAGTGTTGAAAAAGGAACCCCCCCTCATTCACTGCTGGTGGAAAAATAAACTGGTACAGCCACTACAGAAAACAGTATGGAGGCTCCTCAAAAAGTTAAGAATAGACTTACCATATGACCCACCAGACCCTCTTCTGTGTATCTACCAGAAAAATTTGAAAACATTTATTTGCATAGATCTATGCACCCCCTATGTTCATTGCAGCATTATTCATTGTGGCCAAGACATGGAGACAATGAAAGTGCCCTGTGATAGAGGACTGGATAAAAAAGATGTTACATATATACAATGGATTACTACTCAGCCATAAGAAAAGATAAAATACTGCCATTTGCAACAACATGGATAGATCTTGAAAATATGCTAAATGAAATAAATCAAACAGTAAAATTCAAGAACCATATGATTTCATTCATATGTGGGATATAAAACTGAAAGCAACAAATGAACAAACAAGAAAAATAAACAATAACTCATAGACACAGACAACTGTATGGGAAGGGTGTTGGGGGGTAGTAAAAGGTAAATGGGGTCAAATATATGGTGGCAGAAGATGATTTGACTTTGGGTGATGGGGTGATAAATCAATGGATTGTACACTTGAAACCTTTGTAATTTTATTAACCAATGTCACCACAATAAATTTAATAAATTTTTTAAAAAGGATTTTCTAACAGGTAATACTATCTTCTCTAATGTATTTTTACAGATTCCACCAATTCTAATTTTTAATAGAATGGTTATTTTCTTTTTTCATGCATGAATGTTATGATACACAATCTACATATTTTTATTTATTCCCATAATTTTTCTGCTATATTTTCTTTTCACTCCTGTACTTCATTGGTTAAACTCAGTATGTAGATCATTTTAACTTTGTTTACTTTTTTCTCAGCTCAATATTTCTTATATTTTATATTCTTTTATTGTCTCAAGGATAGTTTTTTAAGTTTTGTACTTAATTACCATTAAAAATACAAAATTGGAATTTTATAGATGTGATAAACTAAGATATTCTAAAAATGTTTAAAATTTAAGTTTCTGTCTTGCTGGCAATATATAAAAATAGAAAATAATTGTATATTTTATTATTTCATGTTAAAAAGTATAAGTAAGAATTATTTATGAGCTTATATCTATTAATTTTCAGTTTATTTACTTTCTTCTCATAGTATTGCAAGCACCAGTGAATTTATCTAGAACTCAATTTATATTTGATATCCCACCATATGCTATGAGGTATAAGAAAAGGGTCTCAAAAACTCAGGTATGTATATAGAATTGGTGCAGTTTACAACTGTTTTTTCTGACCATGGTTTTTAGTTTATTGAGTTATTATGAAGCATATGTTAGTTTATTGAGTTATTATGAAGCATAAGAAGTCTTTCATTTTTTGAGAACTTGTGTATACATATATGTGTAATTTGCATAATTATATACATATATATCTAATTTCTCAAAAGTATGTATATATAGGGTGGGGCAAAAGTAGATTTACATTGTTCATATGAAAAATAATACAATAATTAATAAATAATATAAGAATAAACTGTGTTTTGCATACTCACAATTGTAAATCTACTTTTGTCCCAACCTTGTTTCTTGTATGTTATATATATATACTAGAGGCCTTGTGCACAAAATTCGTGCATGGAAGGGGGGTGTCACTCAGCCCGGCCTGCACCCTCTCCAATCTGGGACCCCTTGGGGGTTGTCTGACTGCCGGTTTAGGTCTGATCCCACTGGCTCCTAACTGCTCGCCTGCCTGCCTGCCTGATCGCCCCTAACCTCCTCTGCCTGCCAGCCTGATCGTCCCTAACTGCCTCTGCCTGCCGGCATGATTATCCCCTAACTGCCTCTGCCTGCCAGCCTGATCACTCCCTAACTGCTCCCCTGCCAGCCTGATTTAAAGGAGAGTCTTCTCCCTTGATTGGCAAAGGACTCACATTGGCATCAAAGAAAAGGAACTGTGACTCTAATATACTACTTGGATTAGGCATGAATGATATTTACAGTCAGAATAAAATGTATAATCCAGATAAGTCAAGATGTTTATGTAGCAGAATTAAAATGTGATCATATATAACATCCTATATAATAAAAGGCTAATATGCAAATGGTCGTCACACCCTCATGCATAACGACTGATCAGCAGGAGGCTGCATATGCAGCAGGCGCACACTGGTGGATGGGGCTGCATGTGCAGCGAGTGTGTGTGGGTGGGCGGGGCTGTATGTGCGACTGGTCACCAGGAGATGCATGGAACACTTCTCGGTCTTACCCCCCCACCCCCAGCTCCTGTGGGCGGCAGCGGCTCGTTCCCTCCTCCCTCCCACGGAAGTGGCATGGCTCCCACCAGCTCCTGTGGGTGCTCTGTAGCTCCCACTGGCTCCCGCGGAAGTGGCAGGTGGCCTACTGTGCGCGATTTTGTGCGCTGGGCCACTAGTCTATATAATAAAAGCCTAAGCAACCATTATATTGGAATGACCAGAACAACTGGTCATTATGATGTGCACTGACCACCAAGGGGCAGATGCTCAACATAGGAGCTGCCCCTTGATGGTCAGTGCACTTTCACAGGGGGAGCGCCACTCAGCCAGAAGCCAGGCTCAGGGCTGGTGAGCGCAGCTGCCACAGTGGGAGCCTCTCCTGACTCTGTGGCAGCAGGTGCAGTGGGAGGGGATGAGCCAAACAGCACAGTGACTGCTGCTTGGCACACTGCTACATCCTAGGAGGAGACCCGGACTGCGAGAGGACGCAGGCCAAGTTGAGGAATCCCCCCCAACCAGTGCACAAATTTCATGCACCAGGCCTCTAAAGTGATGTGTATATTACATACAATGTGTATGTGAAGATTAATTGACAGAAGGACTGAGAATGGTAGAAGGAAGAGGAGTGAAACTCATCTTACATAGTGAGTAATTAAAGGGAATTGTCTAAAGTTGACAAGGAAAAGTAAAGATATAAATACAGTGTTTAAAGTTGCCAGGTGACTAATGGAAGAATTAAAATAATGCAAATATCCAAAATTGGAAGGTGGAGAAAGGGGTGGAGGTAGTGCAAATGAGCTAAATCCTCATCTTTACTAGTGGGCAATCAAGACATGATATCTGAATCTGATATATCATATGAAATAGCCATGTGATTGTCCAAATTATGTCCTCCAAATTTGTTTAATTGTTAATTCACAGACTGTGAATATGTCACCTTGCAAAAGATACTTTACTGATGTTTAATGTGATTAAGATTAAAGACCCTGAGCAAGGGAGATTATCTTAGAATATCTAGGTGGTCCCATTCTTTTCACATGAGTGGTTAAAAACAGAGAACCTTTTCTGACTGTGACCAGAAGGAAATGTGATGATAGAAGAAGAGCAGAGAGATGTTTGATGTTGCTGGATTTGAAGAACGTGGATGGAACCCACCAGACAAAGATTGTGTTTGACCTCTAGAAATTAGGAATAGCAAGGAAAGATATCCTTTCCTAGAGCCTCCAGAAAGTGTCATAGTTTTTTCTAACACCTTGATCTTAATTTAGTGATATCTATGTTGAACTTCTAACCTACAACACTGAAATATAGTAAATTTGTGTTGTTTTTAACCAACTATGTGGTATTTTGTTATGGCAGCCATAAAACACTCAAGGGAGCCCAATCAGTATCACATTTAGAATCAGGTATAACTGTTAGAGCAAATCCAAATCATAGTTGGCTGCAATTGCTTGCTTTTGGAAAGCAGAACTGTTGAAGAGGAGGGGTTGAATGGGGCAGCTGTTTTTTATAAGCATTTTTGAGCTATTTGTGCAACCTGTGTATAGTATTATTTTGATAAAATTAGCAATGATACAACACATTAAAAAAGGTAAACAATGTTTTTCTATAGCTGACTGCATTGATTTTATTCTTAGGAAAAGATATGGAAAGTAGTTACTATTTTAGAGATCTTATACTAGTGCCTTAATTTCAAAATGAGAAAAATGAGTCATTCAAATAGCTAGCATGATTTTATGTCCACCTTTTGTTTTAAAATATGTTGTTTTTTGTTATAAGGTACAAATGAACTTTGTTATATAGTATACAAATATTAGAACTAAATATTATTTCCGTACTAAGAGACATCTAGAGTAAAATTGACTCATTTTTACAATTTTAAATATTTTAAAGCAATCATGCTTTAGGAAAAAACAAAATACATTATTTTGTTGTGGTTACAATTGTACGGACCATTTATACTCTTCAAATTTTTGAAGAGCAAAGTTAATTTAAAAAAACCTGAGGGGGAGGAAGAGATTAACCAAAGAACTTATCTGCATATATGCATAACCCATGGACACAGACAATAGTGCTATGAAGGCCTGGGGTGGGGGCAGGAGTAGGGAGGAGGAGACTGTGGAGGGGGGGGGGATAGGCCATCTATAATACTTTCAACAATAAAGATAAGTTTGAAAAATAAAAAAAGAGCCTGGCTGGCATGGCTCAGTGGTTGAGCATTGACCTATGAACTATGAGGTTGGGTTGCAATTCCAGGTCAGGGCACATGCCTAGGTTGTGGCTTGATCTCTGGGGTTTATACCTAGAGTGGATGTGCTGGGTCATGTGGTAATTTTATGCTTTACTTTTTGAGAAACCACCAAAGTGTTTTCCAGTGAATTCTTTTTTGTTAGTCATTTAACCTTATGCTTTTCATTGTTCAGTTCTTCTACAAATACTTATCCTTCTCTGGTTGGTTGTGTCAATTATGATGTTCTGTGAGAGATATGAAAAGGAAATGATGCCTCCGACCTCTGATGAGATGCTACTTGAAGCAGCATGCAAAATAGCTACTATTTATTCTTGTTCTTTTTGTCTGCAACTTGCCAGGAAATGTTTATTTAAAGACCCTCATGTTCCCAGAATAGTGGTACGCTGATTCATTTGTGGTTTCTGTCTATTCTGCCTTCAGCTTGATAAATGGCCACATTCTTGTATTTATCTTGAGGATGATGATGATATCACAGCTTGTTAGGTGCATTCTCTAGTGCAAGGCACAATGCTAAGAGGTTTACATGTTATTTAATCTTCATAATATACTTCAATATACTTCTGAAATGGATATTTTATTTTTTAAATATATTTTTATTTATTTCATAGACGAAAGGAGAGGGAGAGAAAGATAGAAACATCAATGATGGGAGAAAAATCATTGATCGGCTGCCTTGTGCACATCCCTCACTGGGGTTAAAGCCTGCAACCTGGGCATGCGCCCTGAATGGGAATTGAACGGTGACCCCCTGGTTCATAGGTCAATACCCAACCACCGAGTCACGCAAGCCAGGCTTAAATGGATATTTTACATCTTTTTGTCCAGAACAAGGTTTAAATCAGTGAAGAAATTTCAACTTGCTGGAGGTTGACAGGACAGCAGGAAGGTGTGGCTATGCTGGGGCCTCCCATTCCTTGGAAAAGTTAATATATACTCAAATGTGATTCTTTTGATTCACTGGACAAACTTGGTATTTGAAAACCAAGATTATGCCATATCAAATAAAAAGGGGGAAAGAAGAAAGCCTTTGGCAAAACCACTATGTAGTTTCAAAATCTATACCTAAAAAAATATATGGGAAAGAAATGACCACAAAAGCAGCATGCCATCACCTTCTAAATTATTTAATATTTAAGTGTAATATTTGTTATAAGTTACACTAGGAAGCTTATTTCTTATTTTAACTTTAGTATGATACTTTAATGCTGTCCCTTACACATATACATCTTAAACCTACAAAAATGTATAGTAAGGATTATCAGCTTTTAGATCCCCAAGATAAAAAGTTCTTCCTTTCCAAGATTCATCATGGTTGTAGTTTTTCAAATGTGGAAACTGTTTTGTGTCTCAGTGGATTTTCTTTGCTGCATTTGGTGCCAAGGGAAATCACTGATTGCTTAGGCAATAGTGGTATAAACTGTAACATTTCCTTAAATGAAAGCATGACTGCTGGTAGCATAGTAACAGGCAACTCTACTTTATGAAATATTGTAGGTTTTCACAAAATGCTTATAGATTTTAATATTATTGTAGGTGTTGCAGCCGTGGGCAAACTACGGGCCGCCGGATCCGGCCCGTTTGAAATGAATAAAACTATTGAGAAAAAAAAGACCATACCCTTTTATGTAATGATGTTTACTTTGAATTTATATTAGTTCACACAAACACTCCATCCATGCTTTTGTTCTGGCCCTCCTGTCCAGTTTAAGAACCCATTGTGGTCCTCGAGTCAAAAAGTTTGCCCAC